GGAAAAGCAAGTAGAACCCAATCGATAGGATTTAGTAGCAAAACTATCAATACAGCTCCTCTTCCTGGGCGTTATTTTCAACTAAAAGTCAAGCTATGGCAATGTATCCCTATCAAAATCTTGTCCCATAAATCTGGCCTCCAAGTAGGCGTATGTCCAGATTATTACTGTCCTAAAATCAGCAACCTTCCATAATTCAGAAGAGACCCACAGGTTCATTAAGATATAGCAGTACCCCAAGCTAACGCAACATGGCCTCTTCTACAATACCTTGTCCTCCACAACCCAAGATACAATATTTCTAAACATGCAGGTACTAAGCATGCTCTAATAAGCCTCTCATTAAGGATAAGTCAATGGCATTTAAGCCCTTTTTCATAAACTTGTTCCAAACACAGATATCTAAAAATTTTAGAAAATTTACCTTGACTTTAAGAAAAGGCCACTTAAATTAACGTCAAGGTCATCTGCAACTAGGTGAGATTCAAGCACAGTTTTCACAATTATCTTCCACCAGTGACAGGGAACTACTAGAAACCTACTATTGCCCTTTACCAAGTTTTACTATCTTCATATAATGATGTGAATATATCTTTTACTATCTTCATATAATGATACACCCTCACTTTTCATGAGGGTAAATGCACATTAGTAAAGAGGGTTTATATTCATAGCAAAGTATCTTACAAAGATGTACCATCTAGTTAGGCCTATTCCAAGTGCGTTATCCTACGTGACTGCACCCACGTTGCATGTTTTCGGAAACGTAAGAGTCAGTTGTATTACAGAGCCATGCAAGTTTTTTCTTTGTGACTCCACCGGTGAAAAACATCCTTCTGTCATATTATGGAGGTCCTTAGCAAGGCTAGTGTCATCCTCAGTAAATGAGCCCTTCCAATTTCACACCAAACTCTCTATTCAGCTAGACTGTGTGCTCATATCAAATGACAATACACGCATAACAGAACAGGCCACATATTATCAACATCGTAATCACGGCTCACTCTCATGTACTTGCCAATTAACAAGGCTGAAACAAAACACATTGTATAGCATGGACAAGACTTGCTCCTGGCAAGCTTAGAGGGGCTACAGGACTTCCATGTGAGAAAACAGACTTCATGAAGCTCTGAGTAGCTGTCCCAAGAGCCCACTGCCTCTTGGCTCTACAGAGAGAGCACCCAGAGGGGCATAAAGGATGTCATTACCCTCTGGGGGCTAGTTGCTTCAGAGTCATAACAATAAAAAAAAAATTCTTGATCTTAAAAACTTGAGAGCAATTAGTATTTTTTTTTTTATACACAAATGTATAAGGTGGCCACACAAACTGATATGGAAAAGTTTACTAGGGAAGGAGGCAGAAAGCAATCAAACTGAGGGCATTAAAAAAAGAGAGATGAATGCAAGATCAGCACCTGACCTGTTCAAACTGAAATGACTGTTACCAGATGTGCAACCTTCCGGGACGGGTTCTAGAAATTATTTTTCTCTTACACAGTGAGAGGGTTTTACATAATTGTTATACGGGGGTCCCAAAGGAATTACACCAGAACCTCCACAAGCAGATTATCAGCCTCATCCTCAAGCGGAGGGAAACGTCATCCTTTTTATATGGAAAAAATAGGAGCCAGCCTTTGAGAGCTACCACACAGCGACAAAGAAATGCATATAACTTGTTCTGCACATACCCAACAAGCCACAGTGAACTTGTCCAGCAGAAGGTTCAACCTACAGCCTCAGACCCTGCAGGCGCCTCTGTCATCTTATTCGTCATTTTATTTGCCAGAAGTGAGAATTATTATGGATATCATTTAAAGTACAGTAGCCGAACACAGGCACTGAGCTCAGAGATAGAGACTAAGAGGCAACTAAGTGCAACTAGTTTTAAGGTGAACTGAAAAACATTTTACACACTGAATCCTGAGGTCAAGTAAGCATTGTGGCTGACACACTAATGAATAGTTAAGCAGTTTCAGGCGCTGCATCATGCTCAAATTTGGGGTCTTACAGAGCTCTCTTGAAACAGTAGGACCTTGCTGTTCAGATTTATTTTTTTCCTGACAGCAGGAAGCTTAGTTTTGATTTAAAACTGTAGCTAATTTAAGGGGCTGTATACCTTCCCATACTGTAATTTACTCTTTTCAATATAAATGAATTCACCTGCTTGCTGTAAACTTCATATGTGATTTAGGTTTAGAATCAGTTTTAATTATTTCCTTATTGTACAGAATTCAGGACACCTTCCATAGCTCTAGAATGTAAGCATCTTAAAGACTCACAAACACCTATTAAACACATGCCAAAACCCATTAAACTTTTTTGTACCTTACTCAATCCTTTGGGTAGGTTAATGTCATTACAATATGATCTGATCCAATTTATCAATTTCAGTGGACAGCCAGTAGCCATACAACCTCTCAAGACTGATTCATAAAACAAATATCAAGCATATGCTATGCTCCCTCTCGGCATCAGAAACTAAAAGTCTGCCTTCTGACGCACCCAAAGAGCTTGTAATTTCACCAAGTTATCAGCACCATAACTCTACGAATTATTCAAAACATAATTGTTTCCACAGCAATGGTAACAATAGGAATTTAAAAAGAAGTCTTTATCAAGCCAAACTCATCCTTGGGAGCGATTTTCCACTACAAATATGACATCTAATGAAGATACACATTTTTGTTTTCATTTTTCTTTTCCACCATTAATTCCCTCTGGACAGTGATCATTACAATGTGCAGTATCACAAATTAGTATCTCAGCTAGAAGTGAGAGATAGCCCTTATGGAGTCCTATTTTCCAAAGAACAGTTCTAGTGAGTCCTGGAGAATGGGAGAAACATAGTTCTCGGCTGGCTTCCACACCTTGCTATTAATATAAATGGGGCTGCAAAACAATTAGAAACTTGGCCATATATTTACTGATATCATTAGTTCCATACATGATTTCAAAGCTTTGCACCTGCATCAGCTTAATTGGACTTTGCTACACTTGAAATAACTGAATTGAATCTTCTCTTTCCAAGACATATTACGTACGAACTTAAAAATTTCTTTGGCATCAGCACCAGTGTAAAGCCATGATTCAGTGCAACACAAGATGATAGTATTTGTTTTGGCACCAAGTGTTCTTTACACCATACATACCAGCAGTCTGAGACAGCATTACAATTCAATCTGTTGTAAAGCTGCTTAAAACAAAAGGTTAGGTTACAAAAAATAACAGAAATCAAGTGTTTAACATTATGCACCTCTTGCTAGTTCAATAATGCTGGCTTCTGCTGTGTTTCCACCTTCAAATCTGCATTTCAAACATCTGTTTAGCCAGAAGATTCTCTTCTAGGGCCAAGCACAGAAAGAAGCATCTCCCTTTCCCACATCCTTAGCTGAGAAGCAACAATGCCTCCCCTTTCCAAATACATTTCTTAAATTCCCAAGCCTTTCAGGTGCTCAAGGCACATCAGCCTCTCAGTGAAACACAGGCATTTCTGAAAATTTTACCATGTCAGATCTCTGCTGCTGCAAAAACATTCCTTCAAACAGCAATTAACAGATACGACACTCTTCCACAGATTTCTTTTTGCGGCAATCAAGGTTCAGCGGTTAAAATAGCCTTACCTAGGCTGATTTTCCTGGGAAAGATTGTCCCCTCGCTGGTAACCATTGTCCGCCACCTGAGTTGTGGACCGCTTAACGATCTGCTTGAGTTCTTGCTCTAAGCGATCCTGGATGGCTTTCACTGTTTCAGGGATTTTTTTCAGCTTGGCTAGCCCTTTGATGAGTATGCCCATGAAGACAGTGCTGTTCTCCTCTGGATCCAGTTCCGTATCTTCTCTAATTTCCAGAAGGTTTGTTTCTCGCACTAGAATAGATTTAAAAAGGCATAATCCAAGATTTGAACTATTAAAAACAAGACTTAGCACCATGCAGAAGAAGTATATCAACTCCTTTGCCTTCACAGAACTCCCACAACTTTCAGCAAGGAAGGAATCAACAAGGAAACCAGCAACACTCAAATTTTGAGGGGAAGCAGTGGATATTTCTGTTTGCTTGGGGGGTTCCCTATACATAGACAAAACAGCCTGTGCATTTGATTCAGAAACAGAGATCACTGTCTAAGTTACCTATTAGTTAGGAAACAGAGGAAGTCTGGTGCAATTAAGATGTCCATAAATGAGAGGGTATTATATCACTACAAATCCCCTGAATATTTTTCAAGGAGCTAAAAGTTCTAAATTTCTAACCCAGCTGTTTTTCTTTGCTATATTCTTTGCAAGAGAGGAATTTTCATTATAAACACTATCAGGCTTAACAGACTTCTGATGAATTCGGCAAAGTTTACACTGCCAAAGTGAATGATTATTTCATGTTATCCTATTCTGCTTTATTATGTTTGTCAAGGGGCTGATGAAGTTACTCAAATCTTTTAGCAAGGCTTCTAGGAAGGAAGGGCTAGAAGAATTAGGGAGGATACCGTGGATGCAATCCCTGCCACTTCAGGGGGACTGTACTAGGAGAAATTCTGTTGCTAAGCGACAAGGAAGAGAAAGGCAAGAGGTACTACACTTTTTTTAAGTATGTTCATTAATCAACATTTCTTAATTTACAGATAACACCCAGGAACAACAAAAGCATGTCTTTGTTAAAGACTGGGTGAAACATTTAATAAATATATTCAAACACTTCTGTGAACTAAGTGTCTTCAAGGCAAAGTCTACTGAAGTATCTTGGAAGATGTACAGTCACGCGGCTTGTTAACAGCCGGAGTGGCAGTACAGGGACAAATGGCACCGAAGTATACGGCTGAAGCTCTGCCATCCACCATGCCATATCCTTGTGCAGAAATTAAAACCTAACGGCTGTTTCATCTTACTGGTACTAAACTCTGACAAGGGCTGTTGGATGACAGATGACTCCCGTGGTTTCTACGGCTCAACAGATTTATTTTTTTTACTTAAAGCTTATCCAAGAACCTGAATAAATGTCAAAAGATCCACCAGAAGGATTTAAATGACATGGCAGAAATGAGAAATGGCATGTCACAAGTAGCATGCAGCCCTGTAGCTGTCTAAAGCTATGACACACTGAACAGAAAAGCATCATCACTGCGTTAAGTTAGCACAAGTCAAGAAAACAATGTCCCAAAGAGCCCGTATGGTGCCACTCCATAAAGAGCATCATGATAAACAGATAACACTTATTTCAGTGCCAGTTTACACCAACCTCCATAGCAGAGATTGTTTTGTTCCATCAGTGTAATGCCAAATACGGCCTCTCAAGCTCAGACCAAACTCACCATTCATGCACTCTTGCATTTCAACCTACAGCACCAGTAACACTGCCAGGTTAAGCCTGAGGTAAGAACAGACCTTGTGAGGTCACCACACGTCTCGCAACAGAGAATGACATTGCGTTTTAGGTGATCAACATCAGGGAGATGAAATGACGCTTTTTTCCTCTCACACACACTTTTTTCAAGTAAAATCTATTTAAACTTGTAATTTGGGCAAGTTATGGGGCAAGCACCTAGAAACACCCAGAATGCATTAATTTAAAACAAAAAACAAACAAACAGAAAAAAAAGATAATATAGGAGATACTTCAAACACATATAAGCACAATACCAATTAGAAGTTAACAACCGGAGGCAGACGTATTTCTGCTCTAAGCTCTCATCTATCACACACCTTTCAACCCATGAGGCTGCAAAGCACTTGGTGTGCTGCATACATGGTCAACTTAATTTGTTAATGCTACTTGTTATTCTCCAAAAACCACAGCATGCCAGGCACAAGCACAGAAAATTAGCTCTTTGGAATAAGAGCAGTGGAAAAGACAACATTGGAAACGCTAGAGGAAGAAAGATTTTAACTTATTGTTTAAAAAAAACCCAAACCAAGTACCTTGTTGCTTCGAGTTTAATGCAAAGATTTCACAGCCTAAACAACCTTTTAGAGAACAGGTCCCCATCATTACGCTGCAGCTCCTTTGTAAGCAGGCTGTAAATTATTATTAATATCACACAACAAAAACCCAAGAGGGAGGAAATACTGCTGTATCCAAATGTGAGGACAGCATTTAAAGGGACTAAAGGCAGCAATCTTGCAGAGAACTCTGCCAGCAGACTAAGATGCATGCTCTTCCATTTTCAAAAGAGCAAACCAATTTTCAACACCCTCAAATAGTCAGGATGTTCATTTACATTTCTTACAAACAACAGCAAAGTGAATAGTTCAATATCTAGTAGCAACACACTGGTATGTAAGTTTTGTTAGATCTAGTCTTTTGATAAAACAGTAGGGACCATGTTTTCCGCACATTGTGCCTATTAAACAGATATCCTGGGTAGCTTTGGGGGCCCATTTATCTGTAAGATCTGACAAGATCCCAACCCCATGTAACTGCGGATATTCTTCTTTTCCTGCGTCTTCCCCACTTCAAACATCCTCTTCTGCCATTTAATGTCATCAAGGGGTTATATGACCACAAAGCTTTGGCCCAGGAATGAGCCCCTCCTGTCCCCTACCTCTTCAAAAAAGGCATCAAAGTCGACAGGCATTTATGAAGAAGTTCACCTTAAAATGCAATCCCACATGCTATTCTCTGTGGACAGAGGAGCTCCACGGATGAAGGAAGATGTCCCTAAAGATCAACTCTCAGAAGTGAAAGCTTTGCCTGTATTTACTCTTAAACCTAGAATATGAATAACTTTCTTATTCACTTGTATCAAGACAAAAGCACAAGACTGTCAGAACTTATTCTTAGCTTCCTACATTCACCAGTTTCGACCTGAAACGCATCTGTAAAACATATGTCCCTTTAAAGAGGAAAGATCATCATTCATGCCATACACACTTGCTTTATGTATAGAAGACATAAAAAATTAATTTATCCTATGGATGTTTGCAATGATTATTTTTATAAATGGTTCTAAATTGTGGGTCTGCTATTTAGATTTGATTAACCTCTTGTCCTTTGCGATTCATCAAAGAGAAGAAAAAAGTCCTATTTTAATTAAAAACAGCTTCGCTACATTAAAAAAATACAGGTACAAAACACCAAAGAATAACCCATAGGATTTCTTCAGTAACACCAAGAAGTAAAATTTCCCCATCCTCCTTGAGAGTATAACAAGTGAAATGTGATGTTAGCAAATAAATATTTTAAAATTTAAATCATTACAGTTGCCCTTCTCTAACATAATGAAATCTTAGAACTTCAATTTGCAGTTTTACACTAACAAACAGCTTCAACATACTGCTTTGTTGTCCCACCCCAGGGACTCTTGTACCAACTCTTGTAGATAATGCCATGCAAACCAACAGAAATACTAGATTGCATGAAGTCTGGCCGAGGTTTTTCAAGATCAGTTTGACACACAACTTGAAATGTTTTTAGCCAAACTGACCTCTTTGGAAACCTACGTTTCAGTATCACTTAATGATTTTAAGTGGTTTTCATGGTTTAATTCCATTCAAAGATGACACCAAATCAGAGAATCACATAAAACGGCTGAAGTAGGAAGGAAGCTCTAGTGGTCATCTGGTCCAACCTCACTGCCCCAGCAGGGCCACTCAGAGCCAGTTGTCCAGGACCATGTCCAGATGGCTTTTGAGTATCTCCAAGGACAGAGATGCCACAGCCTCCCTGGGCAACCTGTGCCAGTGCTTGGTCACCCTCACAGTAAAAAAACCCAAACATTTCCTGATGTTCTGAGAGAACCTCCTGTGTTTCAGTTTGTGCCCGCTGCTTCTGGTCCTGGCACTGAGCACCACTGAGCCTGCCTCCATTCCCTCCTTCGCGCCTTCCCTTCAGGTATTTATTTATATACATTGTTAAGATCCCTCTTGAGCCTTCTCTTCTCCAGGCTGAGCAGTCCCAGCTCTCTCTGCCTCTCCTCCTAGGATAGATGCTCCAAACCCTTAATCATCTTCATGACCCTTTCTTGGACTCTCTGCAGTATGTCCATATCTCCCTTGTACTGGGAAGCCCAGCACTGGAGCCAGAACTCCAGGTATGGCCTCACTAGCGCTGAGTAGCAGGGAAAGATCACCTCCCTTGACCTACTGGCAGTACTTTGTCTAATGCAGCCCAAGACACCTTCAGCCTTCTTTGCAGCAAGGGTACTGTGCTGTCTGCTCATGTTCAACTTGGTGCCCACCAGGACCCCCAGGTCCTTTTCTGCCAAGTTGCTTTCCGGCTCGGTGATCCCCAACACATCCCAGTGCCTGGGGTTGCTCCTTTCTGGAGGCAGGACTTTGCAGGTCCTCTGGTTGAACTTCATGAGGTTCCTGTCAGTCCATTTCTCCAGCCTGTCCAGGTCCCTCTGGACGGCAACACGACCCTCTGGCATATCAGCCACTCCTCCCAGCTTGGTCTCACCTGGAAACTTGCTGAGGGTACACTCTGCCCCATCACCTGTATCGCTAATTAAGATTTGAACAGGATTGAACCCAGTAGGGCCTCCAGGTGTACCCTGGGTTACACAATAAGTTACCAGCCTTCAACTAGACTTTGCACTGCTGCTCCCCCCGCTCAGCACCTGGCCATTCAGCCAATTTTCCATCCACCTCACTGTCTGCTCATCCAGCCTGTACGTCAACCACTTCTCTACTCGGATCTTTTGGAAGACAGTGTCAAAGGCCTTGCTGAAGAGCAGGTAAACAATATTCACTGCTCTCCCCTTGTCTAGGAGGCCAGTCATTTCATCATAGATGTTAATCAAGTTGGTCAATCATGAATTCCCCTCAGTGAAGCCATGCTGACTACACCTGAGGATTTTCTTGTTCTAATGATCTCTGAAAACTGCTTATGAAGCAGAACATTTAAATATGGTTTCTCAAAAGCCTCCCAAGACAACCA